GAGAACCTTGCAACTATTATGCTGAAACATTAAGACACAAATGATCCGCTATCCCTTTTAAAACATTTTCATTTTAACTTCCAAATGAACATTTAATTACAATATAGTGATGATTTAAGCTTTTGTGGAAAGCTGTCTTCAAAGATTATTTACAATAAAACCTCAATTTAACATGAAGGAGTGTCCATTAAAGCCAAGTCTGTTAAATCAGAATTACAAAATTCACATAATTTATATCAACTGTATAACTGACATTTGTATGTCATCTGCACTAATTCTGCATCATTTACATGATTATCTAAATGACACAAATATCAATTGATGCAAATAATGTAAAAACTGAGAGCCAGTTCGGTTTAATGGTTAAGATGCCAGGCTAGAAACCAGGAGACTATGAGTTCTAGGGTTCCCTTAGGCATGAAAGCTGGCTGGGTGACTCTGGACCAGTCACTCTCTCTCAGCCCAACTCACCTCACAGAGTGGTTGTTGTGGGGAAAATAGGAGGAGGAAGGAGTATTAGGTATGTTTGCAGCCTTGAGTTATTTATAAAAATAATAAAGGTGGGATAAAAAAAATCTAAAAAAAAAAATCAAATAATATAAAAATAAATTAAAAATTATATTGTCTGGGTGGCTTCAGAAACAATAGACTTTGCTTCTGCTGCTTGGAATTTAAGTCTAAAGGAACATGTTGTCCCAAGAATCTAAGTTTCACTATATTACCCACTGAAATATTGATACTAAGAATAATTATTTGTTCCCTATTTTCCTTTTGAAAACAAGGGCTGCTCAGTTCTAAGTGGTCTCAAACATCTGGAGCAGAGAGATTAACAGCAGCCAACAGATGGGCTCTATAATATCCAGGAGTACAGGTCAAGACAAATTAAACTACTGTGCTGGCCCCAGAACCTTACATTCTACTCTTTTCCAGACTAAACACAGTTAAATAGCAATTACATAAAAATTGCAGCTTAGTGAAATATTATTTCAATTTGTCTGTTAACAAATGGAAATTACTGCAATACACTGAAGCATTTTTTTTAAAGGACACTAATCTTATAAATCATAGTTGAAATGTTTTCCTCCCTTCTGTATCAACTTATTTCTTTAGTATGGGTGGTAGAACCAATGTTGCATGGAAACATAGTTAAAAGAATCAAGCTTGGCTTCCTTTAAATAAATTTATTGTCCCCCTCCCCCCCCTTACACATGTTTTATTTGGCATTTATAATCATTAAAAAGGGTTAGGAATTTTTTTGTCTATTATAAAGTGAAAACCAGAGGTGCGTTCACATTCCCGTTCAACCATCACAAACATTTCCACAAATGCTGGTTTGCCTTTTATTCTCAAGATTTTTCTAAAAAAAATTCTTGGCTATTCTACAAACTTGACATGAAGAAATAAGCAACCTCAAATGTATTTATTTGTTTGTTTGTTTGTTTGTTTGTTTGTCCTGGACATCCTGTCAGCGGTGGAGCTTAGTGTTTCCCGTTGAAGATAAGAAGACCAAGAAAGGGGAGTGATTGCACAGCTGGTCCCCACATGTTTATTGCTTACTTTTTTCATTGAGTTTGTATAGTCCTAACTAAGGAGGACTGAAATGATGGAAACAGGGGGAAAAGTAAAGATTTGGGAACAGCTGTTCCAAACGAGATATCAATTTAAATATCTATATCAAGGGCCTAGTATTTAATTGATGCTGATAGGATAATCATCTCTGTAAAGTTTTGGAAAAAATCTTCTCCAAAATATAGTCAGTCATGTCTTGAGACAAGTGTTTTTTTTATACTGTTGCTTAGCTAACTGGTAGTATTGAATTATATTTGCAATCTTCCTCTAGGAGAACCTCTGTAAAGCAAAATCTTTGCTCTCACTGGGAGCATTGTCTTCAGAGGTCTCCTTAATCCCATCCATATAGAAGGAAAGGATTCTACAACATGTAAAATGTTATAGGCATGAGGGCTTTGGTGAGAAAACTGGAATGTTTATCCCAGAGGAATTAATGTGAGAGACCCCTTTTGGCATTAACATACAAAAATGCCTAGTTTCTAGGCATTCTTAGAGAGGGATTCTTTGCTGAAATGTGAGCATGCTGATCCACCAGCAAGGAGACCAATTTCTTCCAGGGTTACAGACAGCTTCCAGTTCTATCTGTCAGGAAAGGCCAAAATCAACCAAATAAATTTCAAGTATTAATGTTTATGTTAATGCCCTAAATTACATAGAAACTCATTATTTAAAGGAATACCCCTCCCTTTATTCTGCTACTTACCTGAAATTATTTTGCCCTTCTTAGGGATGCTGGAAATATATATATTTGTGTATATATATTTATACACGCACACACACATACAGTGGGGCAAAAAAGTATTTAGTCAGCCACCAACTGTGCAAGTTCTCCCACTTAA